TCACTTTGTTAACATTCTACCAATCACATGGTATGAAACATTTGTTTATAGCAGTTAGTTCACTTTGTTAACATTCTACCACAGTCATTATAAAATGACTAATGTTAGATATTAGATTTGTTTATAGTTCACTTTGTTAACATTCTACCAATCACATGGTATGAAACATTTGTTTATAGCAGTTAGTTCACTTTGTTAACATTCTACCAATCACATGGTATGAAACATTTGTTTATAGCAGTTAGTTCACTTTGTTAACATTCTACCAATCACATGGTATGAAACATTTGTTTATAGCAGTTAGTTCACTTTGTTAACATTCTACCACAGTCATTATAAAATGACTAATGTTAGATATTAGATTTGTTTATAGCAGTTAGTCTACTTTGTTAACATTCTACCAATCACATGGTAAGAAACATTTGTTTATAGCAGTTAGTTCACTTTGTTAACATTCTACCACAGTCATTATAAAATGACTAATGTTAGATATTAGATTTTTTTATAGAATTTTAAAAAGCAGAAGACTTCTAACAGATTTCAAAATTAGTTTGTAATAAAAATTGTTAATAAGTGACAAATACATTTTGAAATATTGTGATTAACCATGTGAAGAGATTAATATTTGTTTTTGGTACATTTTAGTTGAGATGAATAATGTCTAAATGAACAAAGGCTTGTGAATGGTGCAAATTAAGCAAAGCATAATTTGTTCTCACCAACAGGTTAAAGAATGGTGAAGAAGTTTCATCAGATGATCATATAAAACTAAGTGAAGATGATGATGGTAATGTGCAATTAATCATTGATAGTTCTATCCCAGAGGACACTGGGAAATATGCAGTATTTGCTGTGAATGAAGCTGGAGATGTCAGCACTGTTGCCAAACTAACAGTTAAAAGTGAGGGTTTGAAATCTAATTACATAAACATAAAATTAAAGGTTAATATACTGTTACTCTATAACTATAGTGATGTCAGTTTCTCTATTTTATTTGAATTAAACAAGCTATTATGGACTTTTGTGTAAGTGTAAAGTCTAACATATAATGCTAAGAAACAAGATATACCTTGAGTGGGATATATATATATAATAATACCTCATTTAATACCTCAAGAAAAGTTCCAGAAAACAGAGCTCTACATGAATCGGCTCTAAACAGGGTCATTTTAACATTGCATATATGGAGATATGTAACTGAAGGCATTGTTTCTTACCTGTGAATGATGTATAAGTGCTTTGTTTAGGTACTGGTAAATTTAGCATAAATTACTCACTATAATATTGTCGTTGCTGGAAAAAAGCAAATTTGTATTAGCCTTCAATCTTATTTGGTTACAGAGCCATCAAATAGAAATTCAGACCCCTCCTGCCATGCCCACCTGTCACATCTTCTCTTTCAGGATTTGTCAATACGTGTAGTTTTCTCTCACATTTAATAACTATATTAGTTAGAACAATAGACAGACAAGGTGTTCGTCTATCACGTTGTTTTCTGTACAGATATTTGTTTCCTAAGAAAATGTTGGTTTTTTTTCCCATGGGTACGATACTGTGCAGATGAATGACATTTTATATTGCGTCACTAGAAATGTCAAAAAAATTGTGATTGTTATGGGACATCGGCTGATTTTTGCATGTTATTATTCTGTGTTCTTTATTGCATTATTTTATTGAATAAAAATTATTTAGTGAACTACTACCACTAGCTAAATTGGGGTCTTACTGTTTATATAGACACACACAGAGAGCACATGTTAAAAGTTGTGTAAACTCACGATTTTTATGTCTATCTGAAAGTGATTAGAAGAATTTGATTATTAAACCAAATATTTGTAAACTTGTATTTTGATTGGATCAGAGTTGTTTTACTTTAATCATACTTTCTAGCAGAACTGGTTAGATAATAATAAAGTGAATTTTTTTGTGCCACTGTATATTTTTCTGTCAAGTGTGGTCTTCTGCAAAGTATTTCTAAAAAGTTTAGATATTTAACTTTTCTAAGTTCATATTGTGACTTGTTTTTGCTTGAATGTTCTAAATATGTTTTGAGCTAAAATGCTTTAATTAGGTTATCCAATTTGGTTTTGTTTTGAAAGGTTAATATAAGGTTAACATAAAAGGTTATGTGTTTCAACTTAAGAGTTCTGAATACAAATCAATTACAATATGTAGATCCCTCAGTGCATAAACCAGAAATTAAGGATGGATTGAAAGCAACAGAATTTATAGAAGATCATCCAGGTTGTCTAGAAATTCAGATTAGTGCTGAACCAAAAGCCAAAGTCAAGTGGTGAGTGAATACTTATTTACTTTCTTGTATGAAAGAAACATCACATTGGTGTTGATTCATTAATTAGGTAAAGAATAATATTTTACCATACAGCTGTAATCAAGCATTTTGAAGGAATATCAGGTAATAAAGTTAATACAACTAGACATTGGAAATCTTTATGAAGCCTAAGAACAGTTTTTTTTTAACCAATGATTATATTAGAAGGTTTTGAAATATTCTTGTACTATATGTCCTTGAAGTTCAAATTAGCATGTTTAAAAGAAAAGAGTTGGTTTATACACATGTTCAAGGACAAGGATATAAAACATTTTTGGATGTTATATACAGTAGTGTACAAGTTTATTAACCAATGATTATATTAGAAATTTTTGAAATATTCTTGTACTATAAGTCCTTGAAGTTCAAATAAGCATGTTTAAAAGAAAGGAGTTGGTTTATACACATGTTCAAGGACAAGGATATAAAACATTTTTGGATGTTATATACAGTAGTGTACAAGTTTAATAGAACATTCCAATGCTCCTCTATTTTAATATGCCTATAAAATGAAACCATTGCGATGTTGGACAAAGCAACAAATTGACAAGTTACTGATTTTCTCACTTTATCCATGATTTTTATATACTACACATATAATTAACACGTAGCTACAAATAATTAAATGAAGTATATTTTTTAAAAGTTTCTCAAAATGTCTAACCTAAATACGAAGCAGTGCAACATTATCACACAAGTAATGGTTGGAGACGGCTTTAATGGGTAATGAAGAAAAACTTTATTATATAAGTTTAGCATAACAGCAAATGTACAACGTTTCGACAACGTTTTATCATCAGCAGGTACCATTAAACATCATCATTATACTTATATTCAAGTTTTTCTTCATTACCCATTCAAGCCGACTCCAACCATTATTAGTCTCAAAGTGGGTTCATCGTCATCGAATTATCACACAAGATTATCTTTCATTTCTATACTAATCACTGACAAAAATTTAAATTTTTTACATTCTGAGCTTTTCATATAGGTATATACAGCTAATATAGTGTAATGCTGCAATTAAAATGTCAAAACAGGGAGAGTTAACACCGTTTGACAGAGTCAAATTCTGGTAGGAGTTTAAGAAAAGCTGCAAAGACCTTGGCTGTTCACCATATACTGTGAAGTACATATTAGACAAAAAGAAAGAAACACAGTCCTGTAACATCAGACAAGATAGGAGGAGAAAAAAGCTCATTAAGAAAGATGTTAAATGTCTAAAAGTCGGTTCCTGGAAAACTGAAGGAAAATTACAGAAAACCTTGCTGCTGGCATAAACAAGTCATGCACAGGTAAAGTTTCAAGAAATGCAGTCTCACGAATACTGCAGAAATTTGGCCTTTTGAGAGAAGTAACAGTAAGGAATTCCTTACTACACAAAGAGACTAGATTTTGTGAATTATTATGTATTCTGGAATTTGAACAGTAGTACAAGGTGCTTTAGACATTCAAAATTTCAGCTATTCTGTTCCTATCTGCCTTTTCTTTTTGCCAAAAAGTCCATGAAAGGTTGCAGAAGTAGTTCATTGTGCTGAACGGTCAAGCATGCAGAAGGCTCCGAGATGGTTTAGACATCTTCACGAAGTTTATAAAACCATAGCTCAGCATAAATATCACAGTATATTAGTTTATGATTTTCTCAGGAAAGAAGCTGACTTGAGATAATTTAATATTTTAAGGAGATAATGATCCTGAACATAATTTCAAGATACTTGAGCTTTTTTTGGCAAACAAAGAAAGCTCAGATTTCTAAGAAATGAAATTGCTAACACAAAGTCCATACCCATGGAACAAGTCTGGGATTTGCTGGACCCAGTGCTTGACGAAAGTACTATATCTACTAAAGAAATCCTCTGGGAACAGCTAGCAAAATGGAATCAAATTGCAGAAGAAACTTTGAGAAAATACATAAGGCACAATGTCACAAAGATGCCAAGCTATTATTGATATTAAAGGTGGCCACACTAAATATTAGCATTAAAAACACATAGAAGTCTTTTTCATATTAATTTTATTATAGTTTTTTTAAATTAATTTGTAGCAATTACAAGTTGATTTCTAATCAGAAGAACAATGGTAATAGCAAACAATCGACACTTTGTTTTCAGTAATGTATGTTAATTCTTCGGACGTTTCGGAATATTCATATTCCATCTTCAGCAACTGTATTAATTAATCGATAGTATTAAATACATATATTCATTCAGTTGGAAAATTTATAGTAGCATAAGTTGAAAGAAAACACAAACAATCTAAAACAACAACAACCAGCAGGATTTAAACAGGCAATAACAAATTTTAACAATTATATTACGAAACTAGTGTGATAAAGAAGAAGAAGTATAGAGATAACACTGTATAGTTGACAGTGTGCTAGGGATATTTATAATAGGCTTAGCTGGAAAGAAGTTGTGTTATTGTTTAGAGTGGGGCGTTTGTTTAAAATTAACAAGCTTTCTTTGATAAGAAGTTCTGTGTTGGATGAATCAGTCTAAATTAATTTAAAATTGTTAATCAGAATAGGGTGGTTGTTATTTTCAATATGTAAGTGGATTGCTGATTCAGTTGGATTTGATAGTCTATTACGAGTCCTACTCAATATTCCCATATGTTCACAAACTCGTAGGTGTAATTGGCGTGTGGTCCAAAACATCCAAAGAATAAACGTGAAAACAAAGTGTCGAATTTTTGCTATTACCGTCGTTCTACTGATTGTTATCAAATTCTGATTGCCATCGAACGAATCTGTTGCAAGTTGATTTCTGTAGCAAATCAATGATTATTGTGTGTAAAACTCATAAAATGACAGTTGTTGAGATGTTCTAATAATTTGCTCACTGCTATTCATATTGAACAGTAAGGCAGAACACATGTTGTGGAGGTGTACAACATTAAGGATATTGCAGCATTTTCTGTAGATGTAAAACATTAAGGTGTAATATCATGTTATTTATGCATGCAAAAGTAGACAATGTTAAACATGTGTACACTAGCAAGGGCATGTTCTTTACAAAGACAGTGGTATAGCTATTTATAGCTGTAATAAAAGATGTGTACTAGAAAGCTCCATTGTATATGATAATGGATGAAATACTAGAAGGTATGATGTGTACTAGAAAGCTGCATTGTATATGATAATGGATGAAATACTAGAAGGTATGACATGTACTAGAAAGGTTCATTGTATATGATAGTGGATGAAATACTAGAAGGTATGACATGTACTAGAAAGGTTCATTGTATATGATAATGGATGAAATACTAGAAGGTATGACGTGTACTAGAAAGCTACATTGTATATGATAATGGATGAAATACTATAAGGTATAATGTGTACTAGAAAGCTACATTGTATATGATAATGGATGAAATACTAGAAGGTATGATGTGTACTAGAAAGCTACATTGTATATGATAGTGGATGAAATACTAGAAGGTATGACGTGTGCTAGAAAGCTGCATATGTATATGATAATGGATGAAATACTAGAAGGTATGACGTGTGCTAGAAAGCTGCATATGTATATGATAATGGATGAAATACT